CTCAGATTTCGAAGTGTACATTTCCAGATTTTATTTATATAATGTAAATCATTCACTCACTGTATATAATGTTCTGTCTCTTTTTGCACAGTCGAGGAGCGTATCAGGACACATTTCCCTGCGTGTTGTACTTGTATAACTATGAATGTGACAAATAAAGAATCCTGAATCTTGAAGCTGACAAATGGAAATGTTACAAATTTGAATCACCATCTTAACAGTTCTGGTGTCCACAGACAAAATATTTTGACTCGTGATTTTTGTGTCCAGCCATTATTTCCTGATTATTATAGTCCAAAAATAAATAAATTAATAAAATAATCCTGATAACAGTCATTCGCCCATCAATTCTCTTCTGCTTGGCCAATTCAGGGAGGTGGAGGCTGGAGCCTCTTCCACCTGTGAGAGGTGGGGTGTTTTCAGCCTGTCACAGGGCTAACACAGAGACCATTCACACTCACATTCACACCTATGGCCGTTTTACAATCACCAGTTAACCTAACCCCACTAACTGCATGTCTGCATGACTGTGGGAGGAAGCCGGAGTACCCGGAGGGACACGGGGAGAACATGCCAACCACACGGAAAGGCCAGATGTGCATCAGGTTTGGTCTCCACCGACTCCTGAAGGCGTCTGTCCTCTGATGAACCTCAGAGATAAACCTCGGTGGGTTTATCTCAGCGTGTCTGCTCGAGCAGAGGTTGTTAAAGCAAATCTGCAGACATAAATATGACGAATCCTTTCGAATAACAGTAAAATGTATCTCGTGTGTGATTAATGCTGCTTTCTTGTGGTTTTTAATGTAAGCTGTGAGCAGATTAATGCCTCACTTATCAAAACTGTTAATTTAAACGACTCTTCAAACACTGCGGTACGGCCCGCAGCGCTCTGCTGCTGAAACCATCGCTCAGCTCCAAGTTTCCAGTTTCGATATTATAACCCTCGGAGTCTGGCTGACGAAAGATGGCGTCATCTGCTCGCCACCAGCTTCACGCGTGGCAGACCTCGAGGGGGGTGCAAAGATTTAAAGGAGGTCTCTCTGCTCAGATGAAAACATCACTCAGCTGCTCGTGGGCTCAGCTCTGAGCTTTCATGAAACTTTCATAACAGCAAATTAGAGTTTGCTTCCGTTCCAGCTCCCTCGTACGTTACCATCTGCTGCGTGGTGAAATGTCCTAAACACCTTGCAGCTCCGTGGCTGCACATGTATTAACGAGGGGGATCCAAACGTTTGGCTTTGTGCTTAACCTTCAGGAGGAGGGTAAAGTTGTTTGTTGCTGTTTGTAAAAGATGCTTTGGCCTGCAGTTAAACCCGGAGCCTGGAAGAACTGGAACCTGCCTGCAGATAAAGCTCGTGTTATCTGCGAGAGAGAGGGCTGGCATGCTAAACAGCGACACAAAGAGCTTCTGTCTGCAGATACAAATCTGGTCTCGTATTGTAGCATTTTATCAGCGTGAGCGAATGTGCTGAATTCTCGGGCTAAAACACCGAGTTGCTCACTTGTATCTGATGTCATTATCAGAGAGGACAATGAAACACGACACAGCAGCCACCTGGCCGGTATTACATCACCTACATTTGGATGAAGAAAACTGCTAAACCATCCTAGAGGCATCTGTTGCACTGCGCCGACTACGAAGCTAGAAAACTGTTTGTATGGTGGTCTGAAGTGAGATATTACATTTTTCCTCTTTTAGCTTTGTTGAATTTAATGCCAAGGGATCGTTTTGAGGTAAAGATGCAAAGACAGGCAGGATCAAAGCCTCAAACAGCCAAACAACTTTGGGTTCTGTTATGTGTGATTTTATGAGGCTGCATCTTTGCACATTTACCACCAGCATGGGCCTTGCTATAGAGCAGGCAGTAAGACGAGGTGTTACCCTGACAACGAACCCTAAAATCCCAAAACATCACAGGGGGATGTGCCAGAGAGTTTGATCCACAGCAGCCAAAGGACCTGCTGCCAGTGTCCCAGTCACACAACACAGGACACAGCCAGCGGTCCCACATCCCTGAAGGGTAAAAGGTGTTTCACAGCATTCAAAACAAGCCTGTCGTAGTATTAATCTGTCATATTCGGCGTTTTCAATTCCACTTAAGAGTCATTATGTTTTTAAAAATCGTTTGGCGTTAGAACCTGGAAATAAAAGCTCCTTATTGGATATTACTGAATTATGGTGACTATTGTATGTGTGAATGTTGAAATCAGCACAGATTTTATTCACTTTGATTGTTAGGGTCTGCAAAAAGACGCCTGGGTTATTAGAAAAATAGAAACACTTGAAACTTTTAACGTCAGAATTCTTGCAAAGAAAAGGAAGGACGCCCCCTCCTTTTTTCCCAGTGGCTCTAATCCTCTTCCATAAGTTACAGTTTCTTCTTTGTGTTTGTTTTTTTCATGCAGCTTTATGGAAACAGCCGTAATGAAATAATAATTTTCCATGAAGTCATGAGAGAAGCAGTCCTGTCTACAGAGGCTGAGCTCATCCCAGTGTGAGCGTTTAGTGCTCAGTCAACCATCGCCAGCAAATCAACGTTATTAGAAGAGGAATGTGAGAAAACACTCGTAGTAAATCATATTTTACTCTCTATGAAGTTACACAGAAAACATTTTAATAAATACAGGAAGTTGGGGTTGTTTAACTCATCCACACAGAGGGCCTGGTTTTCAGTGGGATGGACATGGAGGGAGGGAGTGGGGTAAAGTGGAGCGATGAATGAATGAGCAGATCAGTCAACAAATGTCCCAATAAACACGATGATGAGGCCAAGCAGCAGCAGTAAACACAAACCCTACGTCCTGATCCTTCTCTAGAGTGAAGATGGCGTCACCTTCAGCAGGCGTCAGGATTTTCACAGTAAAAACGAAAACACAAACACACTCTGCAAGTTAAACCTGCCCTCAAAACATCAATCAAAGCATTTAAAGCAAATATGTAACCAGTTCCTGGATAATTCTGCAGTCGAGCCGCGCCGCAGTAAACACGGTTTGTGTCCCAGTCCGAGCGGATCATCACTGCTGGGATCATCCCAGTTTCATTTGTCATTACTCTGTGAACTGTCTTATTTTAGCAGAGTTTCCTAAGTGGCAGAACAGAAATCTGGATGTTTTAGGAACATACGGGAAAAGAATGACCGTGGTGGGTGCTGCTCTGGGGTAATTCGCTGATTTGAGATTAAATATATTTAAATTGTGACAAGAAAAATGACAAAAAAAGTGCATAGCTTCTCAATAAGCAGCCTTAACCAACCAGAACTCAAGGCACTAGTGTTTCTATATCTGTGGCAAACGCCTCTATGCTGGTGCTCCTCCTGCGTATGGACGCCTGTTAGCTTATCTGTGGTCTTCTCGGTTTAACTTGTGCAGCGACTGTGCAGTGAAGAAACAAAAACAAAAGCTTGTGTTTTAATGTCGGCTTCACTTCTCCTCACCTCGACAGTCGTCGATTGGTGTCGTAACCTTTGCGTACAGCCGTATCTACACACACTACAGGAGACATCTCATCTGTTTGTCGGCATCCAAACGCA